AACGAATTTGCACAGCTTAAAGAAGCATAACAACATGTTCTATGGTCTTTTCTCAACAAGTCCTGAAAGTTTAAGCAAAATCGTATCATATAATTTTGTACAATGAGCGAATGAAAAAGTCTCTGCAAAAACGCCCATTGACTTAACATGGGGAGCGAAAAAAGTTCAACTTTGACCTCGTGCAAAGACACGTTACGAAGTTTTGAGGGGTATACGGCGCACACTAGCGTGTACCCAAACGTGTTTGCCATAAAATGCTGGGAAGAAAACCACCTCTTCCTTGGCTCGTTTTCCCGCCATTGGCGATCGCGCAAAAAGTGTCCAAAACCCCGTTGACTTAACATGGGGAAAATGGAATCGCACGTGCCACGTGCCACGAGGTTTTAAGCGAGTAGCGACCGGTGCCATCAGGTAGATCGCCCCCGGGAGCCCATATCCTGAAATTTTTACGAAGATTGAGCGATTCGTCTAGGCTGCGACCAAGATGTCTCGATTCGCGGCCAGACTTGCAAAACATAGCCCGGAGACGGACCGCTCCGGTTGTTTTTCAATAGAAAAACACAATTCTAACGAATAGTGTTTGTCTTTTCAAACAACCTGCGGTTACCCCAGGGGCGAAGCGATAGAAGCAAAAACATGAGTCACTAGTTCCCTCCTGTGTCTTCCCTCCTGCAGGAAAAAAATATATGTGTGATGCCCAATGTGACTGATAACTGCATAGTGCATATTATAAAGCTGGAAATATTGTACAAAGTTGTGACAACACAAGCAAACTATGCATGTCACTGCTCTTGTTATTGCTATATGAGACCTCACAAGACACAAAAATATGCATGGTAAAAAAGGGGGCAACAATTCACTTCAAATGTAGCTTGTCAAAAAAATGATCATGAATTTCACTACATCAAAAGTGAATGAAGTTAAGTGATAAACTCTGGAAAAAAAGATCAGCATAACTACATATGTCTTGTATCCAAAGCTAAAGTATGATCCTCAATGTTGCAAAAGTTGATTGGCTTTTACAATAATGAACAATACAATAACTTTGAATAAAAAAAAAACATATGGTAAACACTTCAAGGAAATCCCAAGATCCATCCAACATTTGACATGCCCTGTTTGGAATGCTGTTAAACATGCTATGATCTTCACAGAATAGGTAAAATCAACTCAAAATATTACCTTCTTTTATTCAAAATAAAATCTTCCCATGAAATTCATTATTGTCAGTGAGCTCATTCAGTCAATCAGAGACTGTGCAGAGACTTCATCATTCAAACAATCAGAGAATCAATGTGCAGAGACTAACACTTTAAAATCTAGTGACTTATCACAAACATTTTTTATGCTACAAGCTTATGCTTACTCAACACTTTTTTCATGACTCAAATATGATGGTGTTCATTTAAAGTGAAAGCATTCATCCAGCACTAAGCAGATTATTTCTAAGCTCCTTTAAGTCCCAATTTCTGCTATATTTCGCTTGGAGTCACTTCATAGTTTGAACTCAAGGTGCCTTGTGGATTTACCTCAGGTATGTAGGTAAATCCACAAGGATTTATGGGCTTTATCTCAGTTATGTAGCTGCTCCCTCAATTTAAGTTTCTCGTTAAATTTCATTGAGGCGTTGCAAGATGGGCTGTAGCCGAATTCTCTTCCCTGTTAAGCTGATGCTCATAATACCTGAACATTTTTTATTCCAATTTTTGTAGCTGTTAACAATTGGTAAAGGCCCATGTAGTATGTACCTAGACAACAATGACTTTACAGAGGAAACCCCAGGCTGTGTTTCATGGGCGCACTGCCAGCCGCTGCCAGCGCATTCCGCGTGAGCTAGCGTCAACCTCCGGTAGTGTTGTAGGCATAGGCTTGTTGATGTCTCTATGGAAGCCAAAAGCGGCTGGCAGAGTGCTGTGATACACCACCCTTATTTTTGCACAATAATGTTGTGATAACTTTTCCTGCAAAAAATATAAGGTGAATATTTTGAACTCAAGGTGCCTTGTGGATTTACCTCAGGTATGTAGGTAAATCCACAAGGATTTATGGGCTTTACCTCAGTTAAGTAGCTGCTCCCTCAATTTAAGTTTCTCGTTAAATTTCATTGAGGTGTTGCAAGATGGGCTGAAGCCGAATCCTCTTCCCTGTTAAGCTGATGCTCATAATACCTGAACATTTTTAATTCCAATTTTTATAGCTGTTAACAATTGGTAAAGGCCCATGTACCTAGACAACAATGACTTTACAGAGGAAACCCCTGGCTGTGTTTCATGGGCGCGCTGCCAGCCGCTGCCAGCTCATTCCGCGTGAGCTAGCGTCAACCTCCGGTAGTGTTGGAGGTATAGGCTTGTTGATGTCTCTATGGAAGCCATAAGCGGCTGGCAGAGTGCCGTGATACACCACCCTTATTTTTGCACAATAATGCTGTGATAACTGTTCCTGCAAAAAATATAAGGTGAAGTGAAGTAAAATCAGGTCAAACATTAATATATACCCAAAAATAGCAGTGTATGGAGCACCTACGTTCACATTACCAATAATATGATGCACAACAGGCCATAGAAAACCAGTGAATGTTGAATTGTACCCCAATTTCAATATCAATATGGCACTTGGCAATAACAGTAAAACACACCGTTTTTATCTTAAATCAACAGAGAAAACTCCTGAACATAAAAAATGATCAGAATGTATAATAAGGATAACAGTATAAATAAAAATCGACGACATCAGCACCTATCATCGCCGTTCCACATTCACCACTCCCCATTCCACGCACAGATTGTTTACCCCTTGGTTTACCCCGTGTTCGCAGTCTCCCTGACGACGGAGATTCTTTACGCCCACCGACCAATCACGTTCAAGATCAGCGGGGCTTGGCCGCAGTTCTCGAACGCCATTGGCCAGATTAAGCAGGACCTTCGTCGTCAGTGAAACTGTGAACACGGCGTTACATATTTCGCTATGGTAACAAAAGCGCCAGAATTGACTACCAGAATTGGATCCGAAGGTCAAATAGGTCACGTGACTGACAAGTTCAGATGGACAACACCTGGAAAACGGCACAACGTGCAATAACGTTCTATATATCATTGGAAAGAGCATCAAAAGTTGTATAACCTATCAACTTTTCACTTAAATATATCTCAACTGTAAAAAGTTATTAAGCAGCAAAGACGCTCCCATTCACTTTCCATGTTAAAATTTTTCATATTTAAACGAGCCTAAAAAGAACAAACGAATTTGCACAGCTTAACGAAGCATAACAACATGTTCTATGGTCTTTTCTCAACAAGTCCTGAAAGTTTAAACAAAATCGTATCATATAATTTTGTACAATGAGCGAATGAAAATGCCTCTGCAAAAACGCCCATTGACTTAACATGGGGAGCGAAAAAAGTTCAACTTTGACCTCGTGCAAAGACACGTTACGAAGTTCTGAGGGGTATACGGCGCACACTAGCGTGTACCTGAACGTGTTTGCCATAAAATGCTGGGAAGAAAACCACCTCCTTCTTGGCTCGTTTTTCCGCTATTGGCGATCGCGCAAAAAGTGTCCAAAACCCCGTTGACTTAACATGGGCAAAATGGAATCGCACGTGCCACGTGCCACGAGGTTTTAAGCGAGTAGCGACCGGTGCCATAAGGTAGATCGCCTGCGGGAGCCCATACCCTGAAATTTTTACGAAGATTGAGGGATTCGTTTAGGAGAGGCTCAACTTGCCCCAATTCGCGGCCAGACTTGCTAAACATAGCCCGGAGACGGACCGCTCCGGTTGTTTTTCAATAGAAAAACACAATTCTAACGAATAGTGTTTGTCTTTTCAAACAACCTGCGGTTACCAGCATCTGCGATGCTGGGCTCCGCATCGCGGGACCGCAGGTTGTTTGAGCAAGCACCTGTGCAACGCCGCAAAAACGCCCGCCGCCAAACGAGAGGATGAGCCTTGCACGTGCAGACGGGAGTCGGTGTGCTACCAGCATCTGCGATGCTGGGCTCCGCATCGCGGGACCGCAGGTTGTTTGAGCAAGCACCTTTGTAAGCGCAGCAAAAACGCCCGCCGCCAAACGAGAGGACGAGCATTGCACGTGCAGACCGGAGTGGGTGTGCTACAAACTGACGTGCACGGCACCCTATTTGCCGGTCTATAGCGGTGTGCCAAATTTGAGTGCAATCGGCAGCCGTTTTCGAGATCTGGAAGCTCCACTCTGCACGTGCGCACGTGCAAGCTGGGTCCCTATTGAGTTGTGCACGGCACCCTATCCGCCGGTCTCTAGCGGTGTACCAAATTTGAGCTCAATCGGCCAAGCCGTTTTCAAGATATGGAAGCGACCCCTACACGTGCGCACGTGCAGCTGCACCCCATCCGTGGCACATGAAAATACATACTAACTGACTTGTTCACAGCACCCTACTACCCAGTCTCTAGTGGTATGCCAAATTTGAGCACAGTCGGTCCAGCCAGTCTTTAGCTATGGAAGCGTCAGCCTGCACGTGCGCACGTGCAAAATGGATCCATCTGACTTGTGCACGGCACCCTACTAACCGGTCTCTAGCGGTGTACCAAATTTGAACTCAATCGGCCAGGCCGTTCTCGAGATCTGGAAGCGTCGCCCTGCACGCGCGCACGTGCAGTTGCACCCCAGCCGTAGCACATGGAAAGGCATGGCCCAGTGTGTGCCTACATCCTTGTGTAAGCGGATTTCCGCTTACATGTTATGCGAGCGGATACTGGGCCTACCAGAAGTGAAAGTGGCAACTCTAAATTCGTCCTGCGCTGCAATAATGTCCTTGGTTTGTTGTCGCGTGTTTAGTGCTATTTAGTTATGATACTGATTTGTAATGACTATTTTATTATTTGATATTGATCGGTACCAATGTTTCTTTAGTTATGTGTCATATTTCTTATCCGAAGAGTTTTAGACTTCCTGTAATGATTTCGTCCAATGATGTAGCTGCGCGCCACGCGAGAGCCAATCAGGTAACCGCTTATTCTGACCAATGAGAGAGCAGCCGAATTTCCGTTGAGCCCCCGTCGCGTCCAGAGCGGGAATTCGGTGCGCCGCGACATGGCGAGGATCGAGATGTGCTTGGATTGCGCCTGCTTGAACGGTGGGTTTCAACTTTCGTGATAATTACTGTTTATTTTATTTCACATTCTCTAATAACGGGTTTTGATATTTCGTGCCGGCTTTGTATGTGTCGGGATTGTGACAGTTGTTTGTCTTTTCTTTCTAGGGCGTTTCAATTTGTTTGTTGTCTGCTTGTGCTGGATACACGCTTGGTTGGCTCCGAGTTCGGCGTTTGCCTCTGACGCCAGCGGCCGGGGATAGACGCCTACATCTGGTGGCAGCGGTGGGATGCTCTGAGCTCGACGGCCTAAGCTTGACGGCCTGCATCTGGCGTCAGTAGGATTCTCCGAGCGCGACGGCCTACATCTCAGTAGGCGGAACTATGGTCAAGCGTACCCATTTTCGGGAACGCATTTTCGTTCCCATGTTTGGGAACGATAAACCCAAATATGGGAACGCCATGTAGGCATTATTTAAAACAAGAAAAAGAACCGTTAAATGACGTCCAAAAAATAGAAAACGATCGTGAACCGCCTGATATTTGTCGCAATATTGTTGGGAAAGAGTTTGATATTGTAAGGCCCATCGTAGTTTCAAATCGTTCCCCTATTTCTAAAGCAGTCCATCATCCGGGCCGCCAGCCCAAATTTGGGAACGCTCTCGTACACTGGCGCTGCAAGCGTTCCTTATTATGGGAACGGCGTACCCATAATTGGGAACGATTTCACCGACGCCTTTCAGGGGCTCTTTTCATTAACAAGCATCACGTCCAACGCCGCAAATTATTGTTAACGCAACAATCATCAGATGACCTTTCCGGCAAGACCGTCGCATGTTTCGCCCGGTCTTCTGCGCTTTTATTCCCGTCGATCTCGCAGCGGGCACGCCCCCCTCTGCAGGTTTACGTAATTCACAACGCTCAGCGATGTTCAACAAGGTCTTCCATACCTATATCCACCGTCCGTGCCGAGGGTGGAGACATGTCAAGCACCTGTCTGTTTATCACCGATAGTTGACGAGTACAAGAAAGTATCCAAAAATGGGAACGCTGAATATGTTACACCCTCAAAACACCTAGTCCCAATGAAAGTCTAGTTTTTCATTTCTTAATGAGTGTAAGTGACAAAAGGCCTGGTAGGATGGGCACGAGGAATGATCGAAATCAGCATAGAAATTATAAATAAGCCACCCAGAGCGACCTATATAAGAGAAATTCCCCCAAAACGATCATGCTTAGAAACACGGAAGACAAAAACCACGCTCATGACGCTCCTTATAAAATAATGCTAAACAGCTAGCATCCAAATAAAATATGTCTTTCCGGGCTGATAAAATACAGCTGAATAATTTTCGACCACTTAAACTGAGTTTACAACAGTAGTTCGGTAAAATCACGCACGTTCTACGCGGTCGTCCGCCTCGACACCAAATGTCAACAATATTACCTCGGGACTGTCCGCGTGTTCGCTTGCATATGTCAGCATCTGGTGTCGATAGTATGAAAGTTCATAACCAGGCGAAAATTATTATACTTTACCTCAAACTAAAAAATGCTTCATTTTCCTTAAAATTGCATGTTAAATGTCGTATAACCCATATTTCCACCATTCTGTCATCTTTAAAAAATCATTAAAAATATCATTCCACGGTCAATTTCCTTGTTCCACGGTCAGATTAAAGATAACTTTATGGAGATTTAGTAGATACTTAAATCAGCGTGCACTTTTTTGAGACGTGATGCACTTTTGAGTTTTAGTGGGCGAACGGCCGAAAAATTGCCTTCCGTTCTCATAAATGGGAACGCCCGTTCCCATATTTGGGAACTCCGTTCCCAAAAATGGGAACGTTCCTATATTTGGGTACTCATGACCATAGTTCCGCCTACTGATCTGGCGTCAGTATAAGATTCTCCGAGCGCGACAGCTGACTGCTCAGCGTCTACACGCCGGTGAGACCTATCCAGTTCGGACTTATCCGATAGCGGGATGTGCCTGAATCCGATAGCGGGATGTGCCTGAACGTTTGTGTCACCCGATCTAAGCGATCGCCCTTTGACCATTGTTGGAGCGGGTAATCCTGCCTCGCGGTCCGAGGACTACCGGCCACTCCCGATGGAGACTGGGACGAGTGCACTCCCCCCTGTTGCGGACACGAGCACCTTCTGACCCCCCGGAGACTCAGGTGCTCCCCCCCCCCTGCCGAGGACGCCGTGCGTGGTATTCTCCGGTGACAATGCGCGCACTACCCTTCCCCCCCCCCCCCTTATGAAGACGCACGTGGACATTTGAAGCTGAGGTGTGCCAAACTGGGCTGACGTGGACATAAACATTTGGTGGTTGGGGATATGAGTGGTGACAAGGGTGTTTCATTGATACTGTGTGTCATGTATGTGCTTGGTTTGGGAAGGTGTGATGTTGGTTGCTGGTAAAGTGTTGCGGTCTCACTGTAACGAGGTAATGCTGGCTCTACGATTTCTTTTTCCATTGTAAAACGTCCTTTCCATCGCCTTTCTCGCAGTAATTTGAGCATTTAATTTTAGCGTAACTTGTTGAATTACTCTCCGTATTAACGACTCTGCGGTTCCCCTTACATCACCGATTTTTTTTTTCCGTTGGAAGTGTGCCAAATTTGACATTCAGCATGGCGACGCAGTCACTATCGGTCGGTCTGCCGTCTTTCGCCGGTAAGGGCAGTGTCTCTCGTTTCATCGCGGACTTTGACACGTTTGCAGTCCTACAAGGATGGGATGACGATAAAAAAGTAGCTCTGCTGCCTCTGTGCTTGTCCGGAATTGCGAGGGACGCCTACGATGCCTTCCCGACCGAGTGCAAGAAGAAGGTAGGCGACGCGTGCAAGAGATTGGAACTGGCTTTCCCCTCCGGCGACAAAGTCGAGGCACAGGTCCAGCTCCGGTCTTTGAGACTCACAACAGATGACAGCCTTGATGCTTTTGTGGTGAAGCTTCGAGGGCTAGTCAGTCGCGCATTTCCCGACACCCGACATACCGATCATGACCCCTTGCTGTACAATTACTTCCTCCAATCACTGCCACCGACATATCAACAAGCGCTAATAGGCGAGGGCATCCAGACGTTCGACAGTGCGGTGGCAAAGGTGAGAAACCTCTCGTGCGCCGCGAAGGTGGCAGCGAGCCAGACGGTTCGGCAGGTAGCGGCCACAGACGAGACAGACCTACTTCGTCGGAAAGTTCAGGAGCTGGAGTTGAAACTCTCGCGACTGGAGCGTCCGCAGGTAAGCGCTCGTTCTCCCCAGTGTCCAGCAGCGGCCGTACTTGCTTCTGTTGTGGGAGGCCCGGTCACAACCAGGCGCGGTGTCGGCAAAGGCACCTGCCGTGTCATGTGTGTGGGACCAAAGGACACTTGGCCCGGATGTGCACGCAGCAGGTAAACCCCCAGCGGGCTGGGCCCGGCCCCGACCCCAGACCCGAGCAGCAGCGGACCCCAGTCTCAGGGTTCCAGCGGGGACCAGGTCCACATCAGTGGGATGCCAGACCACAGGACCAGCGGCCGCAGCCGTTGCAGCCGCCCCGGATGGCCCAGTCGTTGCAGCCCGAGCAGATGAGAGGACAGTCCACTTGAATGCTGACATGACATTTGACGCTGATGTGGGAGGCGTGACGTGTTCAGTGACGCTGGACACCGGCAGCAGCATTAATATCATTCACAAATCCGTTTTTGATGTGCTCCCCAAGGCCCCTCCCCTTTTCACTACGGCCACAGTGGCACACACGGTTAGCAGGGACCCCCTACCACTGATCGGTCGTACACAGATTGCCGTTAAAATTGCTGGAGAAGTAGTGGTGGTTCCATTCTATGTTTCGGATCAGATTGACTGCACTGTTTTGTTGGGATTGGAGTTCTTTGGCGTGTGCCCGTGTGTTCTGGATCTCACCAAGAGTCAGCTGATCCTCAGCTCTGCGAAAATGGTCAGAACCATCTCCGCTTCAGTCTTCTCGGTGGGTAAGGTGATTTGTCAGAGAGACATCGCGGTTCCGGCCGGACACGAGGTTTTCTTTCCAGGTTTTGTTCCAAACGTCGACTTCAGAGGGCCAGCACTGTGCGAGCCATTGCTTGAAGTCCCGGGACTCGAGTTGGTTCCTTCCATGGTGCAGGTAAACGGTCAGAGTGTTCCGTGCCTTGTGAGAAACATTACAACTGAGCCGGTCACGATCCCAAAGCGTGCGGAGATCGGTAGACTGGAAGTGGGCGTGGCTGAGTTTCCAGTCCCTTCAGGTGACGCAGATCCCAATTGGCGTGAAAAGATAGACCTGTCAGACACAGACCTCAGTAAGGAGCAGAAGGAGAAGGTGACCGAGCTGCTGACCAAATATAGTGACATGTTTGATGGTCGGTTGGGCTTCACATCCGCGGTGGAGCATCACATCGACACAGGTGACAGTCCGCCGATACGTTCAGCACCCCATCGCGTCCCACCATTCCTGGAGGATAAGGTAAGGGCCGAGATACAACGCTTGGTGGATCTAGGGGTTCTGGAAGAGTCGAATGGATATTGGAGTAGTCCTGCATGCTTTGTCGCAAAGAAAGATGGACGAGTCCGGATCTGTGCTGACCTCCGAAAGGTTAACGCTGTGACTAAGATGCCTGCTTATCCTGTCCCCAGAATAGATACGATTCTAGATTCCCTGGGTGGAAATTCAATGTTCTGTGTGCTTGATCTTCGCATGTGTTATTTTCAAATCGGTGTGAGAGAAGAGGATCGTCCTAAAACGACTATCGTCACCCCGTTCGGCGCTTGGCAGCACCTTCGGCTCCCGATGGGACTCAATGGTGCCGCGGCTAGCTGCGCCCGCATGCTCGATATTGTTTTGCGCGATCTTCCCAAGGGCACGTGTCATTCCTACTTTGATGATGTTTGTTTGGGTGGTAAGACGTTCGAGGAGACACTTGAGAAGCTCGAGCTAGTTCTAGACAGGCTCCACCGAGCCGGTCTCACGATCAATCTGGAAAAGTGCTCCCTG